ATATATATATATATATAAGCAGAACAGGACGTATTTTTAAAAACAGTTCATTTGAGTAGGCTACTCACTCTTGCACCAATACCTGTCATTTGAAACTACTTTTTTACAATGAGGGTCTTAAAGAGTGAAATAATGGCGTAGGCGTGGTCCTGTCAGAGAAATAGAATGAGTAGACCTACACACACAAACACATATAGTTTCCAACCAGTCCTCACGAGCTCTTGTATCAACCACCAATGACCTTTGACATTCATTTTTCTCAGTTTCTACATCTTTATGTCCTGTGTCCTTTATGTTTGTTAAATTATATAGGAAACCTTTCTGCTCCTTCAACAAACGAAGGAGGGTCTGATGACACAATTACTGACAAGTGCATGGTCAAACCCAGGATTTAAAACCATTGCCGTGGGCTACAGAAAGACCCCTAAACTGTAGCTGCGAAACAAGWCTCAGAGGTGAAAACAGAGAGCTGAAGAAGCTACATAAAGATTGAGTTGTAGACATGGGATTTTAGAGGGTTCAGGAGATGTAAACCCACTATTTTCCCAACAAGGAGGGATGTTAACCATGTGAGGAAGACAACAGAACTCTTAAAGCAACCAATAGTGAAAGACAGCAACAGGAAAAATGTGCAGCCTATACATAAACATTTATTGTTACTCATAAGTCTTAACATTAAAATAAAAATCAGAAATTCATTAATGGAGAACGTTTTCTGTTGTAGCCTGTGAATCAAAAGCAAAACTCGAACAGGCATGGCCAGTTGCACCTCATTTTTAGACTTGGCGCATTTTAGGCATTCCTCTATTTTTTTTTCTTTTTTGTCATCCTGGTATTTAACCCACACTTTTTTTTGTTATGTGTGTGTAATTCCAATAACTTATTAATCCTGCAGAGATAATCAACTTGTATATGCCAGCGTAAATAGGCTTTTCTCCTGTGGGTTCTCACTCAACAGAATCAAATGATCTGCCCTAATATTCTCGTCAATGTTTGATGTGACCTTCCAAGAAGTTATTTCGATGATGTCATCCACATAGCAGAATACCTGTGAGCATACTATAAACTGTCCATCAGTCTTATCAGTCTTCCCAAGGACATTATCGCTAAAACCTCAGAATCACTCAAGAATATGTTGACTAAACCCTACAGTAAGCACGGTTTAATTATTATGTGAGAGTATAACCACAATGTTACAAAACCCTTAAAGAGTAACTTCTTCTCCATGACATAATGCCATCAATTGGAACAGCTGGGACTTGTTTCCTTATCTCTTGCACAACGATAATACGTCTAAGAWGGACTTTGGTCAACAAAATTGCCTTTCCTTTAAGCCAGGGGTGCCCAAACATTTTCCTTGAGAGGGCCAAAATGAAAATCTATCGGGGGCTGCGGGCCAAATGCAGTAATTTAATATTTGAAATACAAATACTTTTTAATATAAAGTCCTTTATTTTTAACGATTAAGCTGTGCAATGGCCCTCTTGTTTTATTCTGTGCACTTGGAGAAAGTCTGCCATACGCTCAAGTAGCAAAGGCTCATGGGACATTTCATAAATTGATAAAATATGAGTTTTTGTGGCCTTATAAAGTGTGTAAATCTATATGTGTGGTTAAATCTGATCTTAATATTTCTTGTTGTTGTTTCATGKTTCATGTTTTATCCTAATAAATCAAAGACAAAGTCAGCACCATGAATGAAAACTACCTTCACAGCCCTTTCATATAGTCATTTGACCAATGGAAATACTGTGTTTCTATAGGTTAACAGCTTACAACCTTGTAATTGTGGCAACTGTTGGTGGGCCAAATCAAATGGCTTGGCGGGCCAAATTTGGCCCGCGGACCCCACTTTGGGCTCCTCTGCTTTAAGCCTAACTCAACAGGCACAGTCTTATTCTTTTATTATTATTATTTCCCATGTATCCCTGTTCTCTTTTGCTATTTTAACAACAAAAACAACAGCAGCAGATTTAAATTAAGTAGATAATATGATTAACYGTTTATTATTTCTAAATGAATGTGGTCAATCTGGATCAATTTTTGCACCGCAAAAGAAAAAAAAAAAGAAATTCCTCCCCTCTTAGTATTACTTTGCTTCTACTTAAGTCTTTGCAATRGCAAGAAATATCTATTTTCCTACAATCATCAGTGTCTGCGAAAGTCTCGGGCCATGCAGGTAGAAAACAAGAAGTTGGTGATTCCTTTAACAGGAAATTGAGAACAATAGGGGCAGTAAAAACAAAAACCAACAAACTGTTAACAGATGTAAGATATGACACCTTCCCACCAGTTTTTATCTGATGCCTTCACCGAGGTTCAAAGCAACGTTTGGCACAGTTGTAATGATTTAATTTCAGCAGCATTTGATCATTTGGTAAATGTTTTGTTTGTAATCCAATTTTTTATAGATTAGACATTTTCGCTTATTAATTCATTTTTTTTTGCCTTAATGGTGTAAACTGGTGCTGCATAGAAAACATATAATTATTTGAACAGAATGCACATTGCCAGACCAGTTAGTTCATTCCTGCAGAGGTGGGTAAAAGGTCACGTAAAGAATGTAAACATCTGAGTCTTAACCCTTTCCTCAAACACACCAAGAGTAGTTTTCCACACCAATAAACAATGTGTCATTTCTTTACGAAGCCTGAAGCCATTACCTTTTTATTTATATTTTCCTTTCTTTAAAGACTGTAAAACAAACCTAAGCATGACGAAAGAGCTTTGTGTTTCAACACCCAGGCTACGTTTACATGCAAGTCCCCTATGACCCTGCTGGTTTTTATAGCCCTGCTCTTCTGTTTACTTCCAGCTTTTGTTTCCGGCTCTTTCTTCTTTAAACTGACTGCAAACAAAAAAAAACTCATCAATGCAGGTTTTTAAAAACACCTCCTTTGGTGTGGCATTACGGCATTACTGTAATTAAGCTTTGAGTTAAGCAATAGAGCATTTTGTTGCTTTAATTGACGTAGTTTTTAAAACAAACGCAAAAATCGAATCAACRGGTGCTTTGTTGTGTTTTGTGTACACTTTAAGCCTAAATGAATATGTATTCTGTGTTTCTGTCTGTGTAAAAGATCTGTGCAGCCAGGGTCAGCGGCCTGGGCATGGTGTGCTCCTCCTGCATCCACCATCTGACCAACATGACTGCATCAACAAACAAGTGTCTGGTTTCCCCTCGGAGCAACCGTGCCACAGCGACGGTGTGCTTTGTTCCCACTTTAAATAAAACATAGTCCCCCCTCATTTGGCAGAGAGGGCCCCCTTGTGCATTATTCACAGCCAAGTATCACTTTGAGTCAAGGAGATGAGGCTGGACAGTTGCATTTCTATCAAACAGCAGGCTCTGTGCAACAAGAGAACAAGAAGAAAACAGCAATTAAATGTGTTGATGACAGTGGTTAGAGCTGCAGCTGTATATCCAGCCCATTACATCAGTTTATGGCTCAAAGTATTGATTAAAAATCACTAAAAGTGAATTTTTAGTTTCACTGCTTTCTGATCACTAATTTATCTAAAACTAACCCATTAATCAGACAATTTAAGGCTAACATTAAAGCCTTCTGAATCCATTGGGTTAAATGCTGATAAAAACCACAGCACCTCTTTTATTGGAGTACAAATATTGGTATAACATTTCAAGTCCCACGAGATAGGTCGCAGTTCATTCGAGGACATCATTTTTTCCTTGAATGACCCAAGATTTTCATTTATCTACAACTAAAAACAAAAGTTTACTTTAAGGATGATATTTAAACAATAAAACTAAACAATTACTCTTGTAGGTAATAATAAACTAAAAACAGTAGCAGGAAAGTGGACAGTAAGGAAGCGAAACCGAGTTGGGCGATACTAAAACACACCTGCTGCTGCCCGACTTCACCTACCTGCTCGTTCACGATTTCTTTCTTCTTTCCAAACTTGCTTCGAGTGGCTTTCCTCTTCTCGACCCGGAAACACCGAGGAAAAGAAAGGACTCGACAGAACCAGACACCTTTTCTGTAAGTGTACGGTGAGCCTGGCAACAACTAATGAGCTTTCCTGTACTGCCACAGATAGCTTACCTTATTCCCTCCCTGCGGGACAGGAGCGGATGAAAGGTAACGGAGGAGCCATTCAGCCAATCAGATTCCGCGGTGGGCGGGAGCGTTGAGAAGACTCGACATCCTATTGGTCAGGTGGCGTTAAWGGAAGATCGAGGAAAATGTGAATTTGCCTGTCTTGTTTTGATTAATTTACGCTTAGTGAGAATATCAGATTTAACCCTGCTTTARGCAACACTGTAAGCATACAGCTCAATTTTTCCCAAGTAAAACTTTTAATAACTGTAAACAGCCAAAAAACAATGGAGTCAGACCCCTTTTTATTAAGATTTTTAATTTAAACCTACAAAATAAACTCTTGAGTTGCATTTCATAAGGCAGAAGCTAAATGTAAATTTTCCTCAAAAACCTAAAATGTTAAAATCTCCTTAGAAAAGTTACCAAAGTTTAAAAAAACAACTAAATTAAGCAATCAATTACTATGTAAAATATATGGTCCAGAGAAGATAAAAATTATCTGAGAACAGAATGTGACAAATTAGACTACAAAACTGTGCCACAAAATAACACAAATTAATTCAAATGAACACAAAAGCAGAAACAGAAAATAGAAAACACATGAAATGTTTGCAAAAATAATCGTATATGCACAAACCCAAATGAGATTTTAAAAGATATTTCCTAAAAGACACAAAGATTTAAAAAATAATAATAAAATAATAAATAAACTGCATAGCTCTAATATCACAGAGAGCTGACAATTGTCCGAAAAGACGTCAGCAGTCTTTAATACCAATAATACACAGATAAGATGGCTATGACAACAAATATTTACAGTAAAAGTATTGGTGAAATTATTCAAATTTGTGAGATAATTTAATAAACTGTCAATAGCTGAGAAGAACATGCAAATCTTTCAAATGCAACAGTGAGTAAAGCAAAATATAAAAGAAAAAATAGAGGTAAAAAATAAACTTATGATAATGTTCTATAATCACAGTTTGCATAACAAAATCCTGGCGAGGAAAAAGCTGGTGAGGAAAATGGATAAGAGTTAAATTTTCGAGGGCAGCACATTGTAGGATTGAGAAGCTAATCATTCGTAAGAAGCTCTGCAATGCAAAGCTATATAAACTACTTTAAATGGTTTTGTGCACAGAGAGATTAACCACACATGTGTTTGTAGACTAAATAGGCTAAATTATTTGAGTAAGTCACAAAAACAACTGCATGTACAATTGACATTACATATTTAGGGGTATAACTTCACTTTAAATAGCTACATCTTTGTATTTACTTGAATTATTAATCAAAAACAAAAAAWTGTATAGGTCTTCTGGACGGGTTCTTCTCTAATGAAACGTTTCGTCTCTCCTCCAAGAGACTTCTTCAGTCTGAGAGTTTCAGGCAAAATTCAGGCTTTTGAGTCCTGCCTCCATGTGACTGATACATCACATGGCTATCGTTGACACCTAATTAACACCTATTGTTAACAGCGGGTGGAGAGACACTGGCAATAGCAGCACTGTAGGAGGGGGACAACTGAAAACGGAGGCCTCCACCTCTGTTTAATGATGGACGGTCTTTCTTCACAAAAATGGCTTCTTTTACTCCTCTCTCAAACAAACGTTCCTCTCTATCAAGAATGAGAACATCCTCATCTCTGAAAGAGTGACCGCTGGCCTGTAAATGAGTGAAAACTGCAGAGTTCTGGCCATTAGATGTAGCTCGTCTGTGTTGGGACATTCTTTTGAACAGTGGTTGCTTTGTTTCCCCGATGTATAACTGGTCGCAGTCCTCCTGGCACTTAACAGCATATACAACATTGCTCTGTTTGTGCCGGGGCACCGGATCTTTGGGGTGAACCAGCCTTTGCCGTAATGTTTTGGGGTTTGAAAGCCACTGGGACATCATGTTTAGAAAATAAACGTCTTAGTTTCTCCGAAACACCCGCAACATACGGAATAACCACTGGTTTGGGTCTGGGTTTGGGGTCTTCATTTTCACCTGAAGGTTGCATGGAATCCTGTCTGTGTTTCCTGTCTGCTTTCAGGAAAGCCCAGTCAGGATAACCACACTGCTSCAGGGCCTGTCGTGTGTGTGATTTCTCTTTCTCCCTGGCTCCTGGGTTTGTAGGGACACTGTCTGCTCTGTGGTACAGAGTCCTGATCACTCCTAACTTGTGTTCCAGTGGGTGGTGGGAGTCAAAACGCAAATATTGGTCTGTGTGGGTGGGCTTACGATATACGCCAGTTTCCAACCGTCTTCCATCCGAAACCGAGACATCGCAATCCAGGAACGCCAACCTGCCATTTTTTACATCCTCTCGTGTGAACTTTAAATTGAATTATTAATTCAACCATAAACATAAGTGTTGAGTATTTGGGAGCCTTTAACTCATCACAAACTTTGTGTCATGCCTCTCTCTGTTCGTTATGACTCATTATTTTATTGTTCATGTTGGTGTATGGCTCCCCTTTTCACCAATATTCACAGTAACAGAAAAAAACCTTCCATGCTAAAAATTTAAACTAAACCATCTTATGTTGCTGTTTTCTTCAAATCTCTCATGCAACATTGTATCATATGTATACATGTCATTCTCATAAGTGTCAGGAATGACTCTCAGCTACTACCAGATTGAATTTTAGCTCAATATCTGTCAAATTGACGGAAATRGTTATTGTAAGTTTGCTGTGGAGGCCATCTTGAATCAATTTGCGTCTATAAAGTAGTGCCAGGAGGGGCAAAAATTGGTGGTGCACTTTAAAAAAAAATCCTAACACTGTTAACAAAAATTCATCAGCACTCATTTAAACATATCCATATATATTTTATTCTCAATACGGCAAAATACAAAGAATATTCAGGACAGACTCTCATTAGTCACAATTAATACTCACTTCACAACAATGCTTTAAATTACATAACCTAAGTTTGAAGATCAAACTCAAAGGGTACCTTAATTCATATTGCATCCATCATATATAGCATCTCTATCATCAGTTCTCTTTAAACTAAGCCCAGTTGAGATTATTATTGAACTTAGTGTATGCTGCTAGTCTCACTCTGGAGACGCCTTATAGAAAAGGTGTTATACAACATACTGTATAAACTGCTACAACTGCTCTGATGAGAAATACCTCTGTCTGAAAAGACGCATTGGAACAATTGTTCAAAAGGGACACAGKAAATACACGTCTCTCTTTTGGAAGAAGCAGAAAGGCTGTACATGCCATCCCATCCATCCTTTAGGTGAGAGCAACAATATCCACTTAATGAAATACACAACTCCATATTAAATACAGAGAAGACAAAATATTGGATTTAGAGACATCACTGATTATGTGGCGACCATGATACGAGACGGTGAATAAGAAGACAAAGTGTACGAGCTCGTAAGAAAAACAACAACAAAAAGAAATCAATTTGATATACAGTGTTGACAGACCGGGTTGTCATCTGCAACAACTTTGGGGAACAACAACACAAAAGCTCAGAGGAGAAAAAAAATGTGCATAAAGTCTTTCACAATATATTTACAGCATTTTTTCTTAAATTTAATAAAAATGCCAACCTGTAGTAAAAATTCACTCTTTAAGACGTGTTATATTTACAATTTATACAACTGTATTTAAATAGAAACATGCACAAGTTAACATCTTCCTAGTGAGAAAAAAATCTCATCTTACCCTGGATTCTTTGAGTTAGAAATGAATTACTACTTACAAAAAAAAGTCTCATTGTCAACTCTGATCCATTTACAGCTTCCTATTTAATAAAAAAGGTAGGCAGAACGGAAATAAAATGAGCATCGGGGAAGAAATAAATAAGAGTTGCAAACTGTTAGGATTTACTCTAATGCTATTTTTCTTTTAAATAAATGATTAGAAGATAGTGTAGGAACACGAGGTGCCAACCTCAAATTACAAAGTGTACCAATGTATGAAGACAGACTGTGTTGGCAAAACCCACAGAGGAATTTCTATGAGAAAAGTTGCCTCCAGTTTAAAGTACAAAGGGACTAAAAGCCATTTGTTTGATAATAATTACTGTATAATAATAAAAAAACCTAYATACACATATAATACATCAGTACACAAAATTGCAAAAGCTAAAAGGCATTGGCAACTTGAGTTAAACAGGTTTCTCACTGAGGCAAAACAAAATAAAATAAGAGGAAAAAAGTCCCAAGCGTCTTAAAATTATATTTTCTTTCCTTGCAAAAAACAGATACTTTTTTATTCTAAAAATCCTGCATAGATTAAAATAAGACCTCCTCTGACTTTCTCTTATTCAAGTGTAAGAGAAAATAACAGTATCCCCTCCTCTTGCAGTAAAGACCAGGGAGCCAGAAGGAATGAAAACAGGAGAAAACAACAAAAGCTGGGCCAAACAGGAATTTGCATTTAATTAAAAAAAAAAAAAAAAAAAACTACAAAGTAAAAAAAAAACACCCTAAAACATCCTAAAATTTTTGTTGCACTTTCTTGTCCAGACAAAACAAATAAACCCATGATTTTAGCTCAAATACAATTTGGCCCAGAGTTAGTATTTTCAGCAAGTTTTGGTAGGACGTTAGAAAAAAAA